GGATGTCAGAGAGACTCTGAAACTTGCCTGTAATCAGAGAGTAGCTAAAACAAATGGAAGAAATGACAAGATGAAAGAGCTGAACAGAAGATTTCAAAAAGCAGCTTGATAAGTCAATTGTTGTAATAAAATGTGCAAAGACCTGGAGTTAGAAAACTGAAAGTGAGGAAGATGCTCAGCGTTTCTTAAGCTGAAAGAACTGAGGAAGATACTTAAGCCTTGGGTTCCACTATTGAAAGATTCTATGGGAAAAATGTTGATTGATGCAGGAACCATCAAAAGAAGATGGAAGGAATACACACAGCCATTGTACCAAAAAGAAGGTGGCATATGATCAAGAACCAATGGTACTGAAGGAAGAAGTTGAAGCTGCGCTGAAGGAATTGGTGAAGAACAAGGCTCCAGGAATTGACAGAATACCCATTGAGATGTTTCAACAAATGGTTGCCCACTGGAGGCAGTCACTCGGCTATGCCAAGAGATTTGAAAGATAGCCACCAACTGACTGGAAGAGATCCATATGTGTACCCATTCCAAAGAACAGTGATCCCACAGAATGTGGAAATTATCAAACAATATCATTAATATTGCATGCAAGTAAAATCTTACTGATGATAATTCAAAAGTGATCACATTGATGTAGAGCTTCCAGAAATACAAGCTGGATTCAGAAGAGGACATGGAACAAGGGATATCATTGTTGATCATGTCAGATGGATCTTGACTCAAAGCAAAGAATGCCAGAAAGATGTTTACCTGTGTTTTATTGACTATGAAAAAGCATTCAATTGTGTTTATCATAACAAATTATGGATAACATTGAGAAGAATAGGTATTCCAGAACACTTAATTGTACTCATGAGGAACTTGTACATAGATCGGGAGACCGTGATTCGAACAGAACAAGGGGATACCACATGGTTTGAAATCAAGAAGGGAGTGTGTCAGTGTTGTATGCTTTCACCATACTTATTCAGTTTGCATGCTGAGTAAATAATCTGAGAAACTGGATTATATGAAGAAGAACATGGCATCAGGATTGGAGGAAGGCTCATAAACAACCTGTGATATGCCGATGACACAACTTTGCTTGCTGAAAGTGAGGATGACTTGAAGCATTTGCTGATGAAGATTAAAGACTACAGTCTGCAGTATGGACTGTTGTTGTTGTTATGCACTGCTGAGTTGGACCCAACTCATATTGACCCCTCCTTGGGTTTCTGAGGTGGTTTCACTATGGAAGTACATTGTCCAACATTCCTTCTGAGGAGTGGCAGGTGGGTTTGAACCACCAGCCTTCTGGATTACATTTCAATATAAAGAAAACAAAAATCCTCACGACTGGTTCAATAAACTGTTTCCTGATAAATAGAGAAAAGACTGAAGTTGTCAAGGATTTCATATTACTTGGTTCTATAATCAACACCAATGGAAGCAGCAGTCAAGATATCAGATGATGTATTGCATTGGGCAAATTTGCTGCAAAAGATGTCTTTCAAGTGATGAAGGGCAAAGATGTCTCCAAGAAGACTAAGATGTGCCTAACCCAAGCCATATTTTCAATCACCTCTTACACATGTGAGAGCTGGACAATGAATAAAGAAGACTGAAGAAGAGTCAACGCTTTTGAGCTGTAGTGTTGGAGAAGAATACTAAGAGTACTGTGATCTGCTGAAAGGACTAACAAATCTGTCTTGGAGGAAGTATAGCCAGAATGCTCCTTGGAAGCAAGAATGGCCAGACTTCATCTCACCTACTTTGGTCATGTTGTCAGAAGGAACCATTCCCTGGAGAAGAACATCATGCTTGATAAAGTGGAGGGTCAATGAAGAAGAGGAAGGCCTCAATGATATGGATAGACAGAGTGGCTACATCAATGGGTTCAGGCACAGCAGGAATCATGAGGTTGGCACAGGACCAGGGAGTGTTTCATTCTGGTGTGCATAGGGTCACTATGAGTAAGAGACAACTCGATGGCACCTGACAACAATATCAAAAAGAACATTTCAAGATTTATCCTCAAATACAATGCTATCTGTCGTAGTATTATATCCATGCATCTAAAATGAAGATCAGTTAATATTACTGTTACTCAAATTTACACACCAACATGTGTAAAGATGAAGAAAATGAAGATTTTTAAGAAGATATATTGATAATTACTGATGATTAGAATACAACAGTTGGAAGCAAGGAAGGATTGGTAGCTGCCAATTATGGCCTTGGTTATAGAAATGACACTGGAGATTGTATGATAGAATTTTGCAAGACCAATGACTTATCATTGCAAATACATATTTTCAGCAACATAAACAGACACTATGCACATGGACCTTGCTGGATGGAATACACAGAAATCAAGTAGACTATATATGTGGAAAGAGATGATAGAGAATCTCAATATCATCAGTTGGAATGGACCATCAATTTCTCATATACAAGTTCAAGCTGAACCTGAGGAAAGTTGAAACAAGTCTATAAGCACCAAAATACAACCTTGATTATCCCCCACATGAATTTAGAGACCATCTCAAAAATAGATTTGACACATTGACCATCTCATATGCATGTGAAAGCTAGACAATGAATAGAAAAGGTCAAGGAAGAATTGATGCCTTTGAAGTATGGTGTTGGTGAAGAATATTGAATATACCATGGACTGCCAAAAGAGTGAACAAATTTGTCTTAGAAGAAGTACAGCCAGAATGCTCCTTAGAAGCAAGGATGGTAAGGCTTTACTTCACATGCTTTGGACATGTGATTAGGAGGAACTAGTCCCCAGAGAAGGACAACATACTCAGTAAAGTAGAGGTTAAACAAAAAATAGGAAGACTCCCAACGAGATGACTTGACACAGTGGCTGTAACAATGAGCTCAAATATAGCAATAATTGTGGGGATGGTGCAGGACCAGGTAATGTTTCATTCTGTTGTACCTATGGTTGTTACGAGTTGGAACCAACTTGATGACACCTAACAAAAACAGCAATATTTATTATTTATAATATAAACCTCAATTCTGTCATTTGAATCACTTGACACCATTATCTTCAAAATATATAAAGTAAAAACAAAACACATACAAACATTGAATAGGATAGTATAAATTCTATAGTAGGGAGTTTGAGTGGTTTATTTCAAACGAGTTAAATAGAATAAAATGTACATTGTGCGTATTATATGTGAAAAGCATTTCAATGTGCTTTCTGTTCATGCAACAACTCTGTGATATAAATACTATTTTAATTCCCATTGTACATATGACTAAGTAGCTTATACATTGCATTCAATAATACTACTACAGATAGCATTATACCTGCCAGAATCTGAACCAGGCCCCATGCTTATATACCCACAACATCGTAAGTTATTATGTTTGATCATTTTAGGGAGAAGAAGAGTGCAAGGAATCCAAATTTTATTATTAAAAACTGCTTATTTTACTATTCAAACTATTCCTCAGAGTGACTGTCTTGTTTTGGCAGCTTCCTCCTTTCCATTGCTTTACAGGTCTCAGGTTTCTAAGAGCACTAAGGCTACTAGAACTCCCCCAAATCTTGCAAATTCTACAAGCCATCAAGACCAGGTAAATACTAGCCATATCTAAAGTTTTAAACCACATGCCTCTATGTTCTGACTGGAAGCACAGAACATTGCAGACCAAGTGGATTTCACAGCTAAGTGTTTATTCACTGTGAAAAAGTTGAGATAAGAAAAGGTGTTTTTGTGTGACACACACTCTGTCTGAAAACCAGAGATTTCAGCTAAATTATAAGGCTTTACTTAGAAGGTGGGAGCTTCCCTGATCTTCATCACTCAAGGATCATGTTATGAGAATAGCAATATGACTCTACACTATGTGATCCACTCAAATTTTCATTTTGCAAGCCCACTCCCTGGATTCCTGAGAGAATGCATTTTGCACTACTGCTTTAGAAAATGTGACAGTCTATTGAATGATTTTTATAATAATCCTTATAGAGTACATTATTAAGAACAATAAAAAACATCAGGGTAGTGATAGCACAGCAAAATTCCAAACTTCTAGAGTGTGTGACTTGGTGTGTTTTAGGACTGTGCTTCTCACACACTAATGTGTGTATGAATCGAGCCAAAGATCTAGTAAAAAATGTGGATTCATAGTCTATAGATAGTGGGTGGGGTGTGGGATTATGCATTTGTAATATCCTCCGAGGTGAAGTCACTACTGCTGGCCCATGAACCACATTTTGAGTAGCAAGACCTTAGAGAATGAGGTATTTGTATTGTTCTGTAACGTATATGAGAAAGCCCAACAGGTCTTTGTCTTTCTTCTTCCAGTAACTCAGTGAAGTTTTCCAAGCTCTTATCAATAATTCTCAGTGTGTGGTTCACTGCTGCAGGATTCCTTCACCTGGTAAGCATCTTATCACAGTCACTATTGTTGTTAGTCATCATCGATGCTCTTCCTTTGAAAAATGGAATTGAACCTTCAGAGCACCTGTCTCCATCACTAAAACCCAGTGTGAGGTTTATTTTTGTATGTCTTCTTTCTGAGTATTCCCTACCCTCATATGTCTCCTAATAATGTATCTGTTACCCTTGAAGTATCTATGTTCCTCCTTCCAATTTCAAAATCTGCTCTTAGGAAAAGACTTAAAAGGCTAACTCTTCAAAGGATAAGCAATAGGTAATATGTATCTCTGATAGTGTAGTTCCTAAGACACTTGACTACTAACCAGAGGGCTGGCGGTTCAAACTCACCAGCCATTCCTCAGAAGGAAGGTTGGGCAGTCTACTTCCCTAGTGATACTGCCTCGGAAACCCAAGGGGTAGCTATGAGTTGGGTCTGACTCGATGGCACATAGCAACAACAACAAGGGATGCACCAGAAGCTCTAGTGGCGTATTGCCTAAGGCACTCGACTGCTAACTAGAAGGATGGTGGTTCACAACACCAGCCACTCTTCAAAAGGAAAGTTGGTCAATCTACTTCCATAGTGATACCGCCTTGGAAACCCAAGGAGGGGTCACTATGAGTCGGGTCCAACTCGATAGCACATAACAACAACAACAACATATATACATAGGGTTCTGGAATTTTAACTAAGAATAAAAAGTCTTAAGTCAAAGAAATGAAGCTGATGGGAGGATTTCAGACTTTATAAATAAAGATGAGAGTTGTGAGAGAGGAGCTGTTGAGTTGCAAAGAGGAGCCTTGGCCCCTTCTTGGTTCTTCTGAAACCAATCTATATATGCATAGCTGCCTCTTTTGCCTATAAGAGAAGCTAGCTCCTATTCCACCAAGCCAAGAATATAGGAAATGAATTTCAACAATCAGAAAAATACCCCTGGATATTTTGTTTGAGGACAGTTGAGGGGCAGTCAGTAGAAAATGCAGAAATTGAAGTATTAAAGTAGGATATTAAAAGCCTATACAGACCTTTGAGAAAAACAAAGTTAAAAGTATAGTGGGAGACATTTTTATTTTATCATTTCTCTCAAAATTAATACCAATATCAATAAAACATTGAAAAGCTTACCTTCTTAAATTCATCAAGAAAATTATCAAATTCCCAATGCAAACTGTGAACCTTCAGGAAATCTGAAACCAATCCCATACTGCATCAGCACTTCATCATATTTCCCTGAAAAGAAGTGTGACAGTAGTAAAGGTAGATCTCTGAATCTTGAGAATTGGACCTAGGAGCAGGAGCTTACCATGGGAGAAGGAATCAGTGTCCCTGCAACAACCTGTTGAAACATTACAAAGTGGTAAACAAGAGAATGCTAAAGGAAAAACCATGTTAACAGGGTATGTTTCCTGCCTTTAATACCTGTTCCACAGAAGGGTTCTCAGGCTGAAGTAGTCTACAGGCATATTTTGTTTGATCTAATTATGTTTCTTATTTTCTGTTTTTCTGTTGTTTTTATTAGTTGCTAACTTTTGTGGAGAGTTCACATAAATCTGGATTTCTGGATCGCTTGGGAAAATAGACGTTTTTTTCAGCCCCGCTCTTCAATGGCCAGCAAGAGTTCTAGCTGAACAATAGCCTGTGTTCTTGGGCTGGACACAGTTTCCACCAGACCCCCTGAATCATTAAAATTTGACACCTCTAGTATGTGAGTTTGTGTCCCTGTTGGGCATTGAGTCTCTCAGACATGGAGATAGCTAGTGAGGATGCATGCAGAGAAATAGGGAGAAACAACCAGACAGCTTAAGGGGATCCATTGTGAGACACATCAACCTCTGGAATGTTAAACCTATTAAAGCCATATCCCAGAGTGAAGAAAATAGCAGATTTGATGACAGTCTATTGGAAACTATTTGTCTGTGACAAACCAAAGTCCAAACTATGTTTCCTCTGACTCACTACCTTCCAATCCTCACACTGTCCTTCAGCTTAAAGTTGGCATCACTCAAGCATGAACATTAACCTGAAAGGAATCAAGTGCTTAAATTCTGCCAAAACAGCAAAGGTTGTGGTGAAGAGCAGAGAGACAACAATATAGAAACAGTTACATAATGCAATAGTTACCAGAACAATTACAAGGTAATTGACCCAAGATAGCAAAGGAAAAGTTATGAAAAATACTCCATATTTGAAAAAATCCAAATACGTTTTAAAATAAAAACCTGAAAAAGATAATTCAAAAAAGATATATATTTTAAAGAAAAGATTTTTAAACAGTAGCAGGAGTTGAAAATGAGCAAAATGAATATGCAGATTAAGAGCATTCGTTATCTCTGGAAAAAAAAAAAAAGACATTAAATTATGAAGTCCATGTATACTTTGAAGCAGTTATTGAAATTCAAGGATAAGGAGAGGATAAGCAGTTCTATACAAGGGGTTGGGGGTCGGGGGATGAACTAGCCTCAGGTTTCTCTGCAGCCTAAGTTGATACTAGAAGATGAAAGAGCAATGTCTACAAAGTTTATTTGAAAGAAAATGTAACCTGTCCAGTCATTTAAGCATGCAAAGGGAAATAGCACCCAGGAGCCTTTTAAACACATATCTTGATAAAATGCAGTCACATAGGAGATGAATCAAAACTAAGAATTCAGGAATAGGAAAGGAATGATAAAACGTAGTGATGGTGATCATGGAATGCACAATATTATAACAGGATATGATTGAATCCCTGTGCTGAGATACTGTAAATGACTATATACTTTAGTGAAGACTCCAGAGTTTAGAGAAGATTAGTAAACTTTGCAGTGAAGTACACTACTAGCAACAAGAGTTAATATAGACATACAATCCCTTTCTTATTTTGGAGGGAGAACTTATAGGAGTCTACATTCTTAACCTAATTACCAAACTTACCAAAGGGTCAGCATTTGTCATATCACTATTAAAAAGTAATCAAATATCTGAGAAAACTAGAGATTTCTAATTTCCACTCCAATTCTTGACAAAATTAAAAAAAAAAAGACAATAAGGAAAAAAAACAACTTATTTTCCTCAAGAATTTCTAGGATTTTATCATCCTTTATGTTGAATAGAAATGGAAAGCATCCAGGAAATATGTAAATTGTGGGAGAAAATTTCTAAAAACGGAAAAACAAAGCAAAAGTGTAGATAGATAAGTGATGCCCACTACCATTGAGTCAATTCCAACACAATGACTCTATTGGATGGAGTAGAATTGCCACATTGGATTTCCAAGGCTGTAAATTTTCACAGATGAAGACTGTCTCACCTTTCTCCCACAGAGAGGCTGGTAGGTTCGAACCACTGACCTTTTGGCTAGAAGCCAGATGCTTTAACCAATGCACCACCAGAGCTCCTTAGTCAGATAGATGGATACATAGATAGATATTGCCTAAATTCATCTACTTATTTATTATCGTAATAAAGATAATCTGAGACATTTAGTTTTCTTCTTTAAATATGATGACTTAGAGATAAAATCAGAGGGAAACATATTTTGAGAGGTTTTTTTTTTTTTTTTTAACTCAAAAACTTTTGCTTTGCAGTGAGTAATAACTTGTAGAACTTTTTTTGTACTTACTTTTCCATAGACACAGTCATTCATGTGCTTAAGCTCACGGAAGTAAAGTGCCATTTAAATGTGTCTTTCTTTAATGAGCTCTGGAGGCATAGTGGTGAAAGCATTTGTCTGCTATCCAAAAGGTGGGTGGTTCTAAACCACCAGCTACTCCACCAGAGAAAGATTAGGCAGTCTGCTTCCTTAGAGATTTACAGCCTTAGAAACACTATGGGGCAGTTCTACTCACCCTAAAGGGTCACTATTAGTAGGAATCTACTCGACAGCAGTGGGTTTGCCTTTGGTTTCTTTAATGATAATCCTGATAACCGAAACCAAACTCACTGCTGTCGAGTCAGATGTGAGTTAGAGCTACCCCTCCTTGGGTTTCTGAGGAGGTATCACCATGGAAGTGATTTCCCAATCTTCTTTCTGAGGAGTGGCTGGTGGGTTTGAACCACCAGCTTTCTGGTTAGCAGTCAAATGCCTTAGGCACTATGCCACCAGAGCTCCTGATCAATTAAAAAATGATAATGAATAAAAATTTCTCAACATGAGTCTTGGTGTCTTATGCTCCAGGAAGTTGATGCACCCATGTGAAAAGAAAAAGATGTAAGTACCCTTTACCCTTTGGAGTCTTCCAAAAGCTGGATTCAAACTACATGCCCCACAAATTTCAGTAATAATCACAATTAAAAGACCCCAGATCACTACCTACAATTTTCAAACTCTTCGCAACAGCCTGAGAATCACTGAATATTTCATTTGAACTTAATGAAATGAAATTAATCCAATGTATTGTCTATTCTTTAAAAACCTTCCCTTGGATCCCATTCAAAGATCTTTCCTGTGTCTTCTCTCCTTGGACAGGTGGAAAATTCTGGTGATCCTTGGCTCAAAGGTAAAAATTCACAGAATTTATCTTACTTTGACTCAATTTACCTGGTTGTGGCAACAACATCAACTGTTGGCTTTGGAGATGTGGTAGCCAAGACATCCCTGGGACGAAGTTTCATCATCTTCTTCACCACTGCAAGTTTGGTAAATACTTTTAATTTTGTTATGGATGTAGCTATATAAGTATACAAATTTTGGTTAGCGATTGAAAATAAAACAATTTATGTTGAAGAGTGAATGTAGCATTATTCAGAGCAAGTGTCAAATAAAAAGTTACACAGTTCTCTTATTTTCCTAAACTACATTCCCTGGAGTACATGATGTAATTGCTTGGCTGCCAGGGATGGACAGTAGACAAGCAGGAGCAGATAGTCCTTATTAGCTGCTAAAAATATTTGAGCAACCTGTCATCCTTCAACTTTTGTGCATCAGATTAAAGTCTTTGTTCCAAGGAGAAGGGCTTCTGAGATTTCATCTGAAGGGAGTTCTGTTTCTTCCAGACCAAAAGAGCTAGCTTCTATCCAACCAGTATCTTACTTTAGCTGAGAGAACATCTATGCTTTGTTTGAGTGTAGCAATGACCAAGGAATCCTTCTCTTTTGGTGATTTCAATCTCAGTTCCTTAAAAACCATAACAGAGTTTTTCATTCTACCTTTCTAATATTCCACTGTCCTCAGTGGAATATTAGAAAGGTAGAATGAAAAACTACCATAACAGAGTTTTTCATTCTACCTTTCTAATATTCCACTGTCCTCAGTGGAATATTAGAAAGGTAGAATGAAAAACTCTGTTATGGTCTTTAAGGAACTGTACACATGGACTTCACCAGATGGAACACAAAGGAATCAGATTGACTACATCTGTGGCAAGAGGCGGTGGAAAAGCTCAATATCTTCAGCCAAAACTAGGCCAGGAGCTGATTGTGGAACAGACCATCAA